TTGAGAAAGATATGTCCGCTTACCAAAGAGAACAGATCGAACCAAATTAGTCCTACAAATACTGATTTGAACGCAAGCTTTGCCGATAAATCGTAAATCAATTTGTCATCGAGTGCTGAAGAAGAATACAAGACATCAGTTTAATCAACAATCGAAGAGCGGAATTAATAAGTGGATATTCAATTTATTACAAACATACAGAATACATGAACATCAGACATTATTCCGCGTAAAATTTGTTCGAAAGAGACGAAGTTTAAATTTTGTACCTTTCTGATTGAAGAAATTTTCATCGACTCGTTAATTAAAAAATTGGCAGTGTGAATTGGATTAAGATATAATTCCATGGTATAATGTGCAAAAAGGATTATTTTTTTTACGAGAGAATATTGCAAATTGTATAAAACGACATTCTTATGCTTTTTCTTTTAACTTGTCGTTGCATGTTTGTGAAGAACGAATATAGCCGTAGCAAGAAGAGTTTAGATATCAAAGTAATTTGCTGGACTTTCTGTTGTAATATTAATTACAGTATTTGATTAAATGTAAAATATTAAGGATAAGAAAATAAGTAGCGTATGTAACTTGATGTCAATTGAAGATTTTCAGGCAGGCTACCGTGCGCTTCGCAACTATGTATATGACCGTCTTCTTTTTACTTGTGCTTCATATATTACGCACGAATATCATCTAATATTAAGATAGCAATTGTAGTACAGTTTTTAATACAATTATAGGAAATTTGCGGCGAAATAAAATAATTTAAAGAAATAGTTTGTAAAAAGAAACTTTAATACTGGATCTAGAAACACGAAAAGTACGTCTTTTCTCTTCAAAGATAACGTTTAGAATGAAGAAGGTCGTTGCGGAAAAATTCGTTGTAAGTCAATAGACTCTATGGGTCCTACAGTTGAAATAAACAGCTAAAGAACGCAGCTGTATCTTCTTGACTCGAACCTTCAACGTTAGAGAAAGTTTTGTGATCCGATAATTTTTGAAGAAGAAAATACTTAGTTTGTGTTTAATAAATCCAACAATTGTATTCAAACTTAACCGCTATTGGCGGTTAACCGCGATTTATCTTCCATATGCTAGAATTTTATTGCAGTTCTATCCCAAAACAAGTCGAACGCCTATTGTTTATGTTGGAACTTCTAAGAACGTGAAAGCGATTAATGTGATATTTTCACGAAAATTTGTAATATATCAGTATCACAAATATAGTTAAAAGGTAGTAGAATGGATTAATATTATTAAAGAATTTTAGGACAAATTGTTTCCAGTGATCGAAAAGTAATTAAATTTATTAGTGGCAGTAACTAGTACTAGTTTTCGGTGATCGGCATTTTGATATTACAAATATCTTTTTATTTGCAATTTGCGTGTATTGAATAAACATATAGTAGTATACTTATGTTTAGAAAACTAATAATCTGGAATGTGTTACGATGTAACACAATTTTAAGTGACATTTATTTGTTATAATCGTAAATTATTTTTGTAATTTTTCTACACTATCGATGCGAAAAATTACATTGCGTTTTATGCGGGAAGGGGTCTAAAAATGAACAGCGCGACTGTCGCGAGGTAGGTGAGGTAAATGAATAATACTTGCAACAGAATGTCTGCAAGAGATGAGGTTTTAATAAGTACTATGGAATATGCGATGTTACAGAAACGGAGGCTCGACTGATAATCTTTTTCTTGACGCCTTTCCGCAGTATATATAAGGTTTTTGAAGAAGGCGTAACTCCTTACCCAGTAGAGGGTGGTGTTATTTTCCACGCTGAGACCATTTTCTTGACGCCTTTCCGCAGTATATATTAGCTTTTTGAAGAAGGCGTAACTCCTTACCCAGTAGAGGTTGGAGTTATTTTCCTCGCTGAAACCTCCCATTTTCGGCGGGGGAAAAAGTATTATAAATCACAATTTGTTAACCGAAAGTGTCCTTCCGGCCCCTGCTGACCATGTGGCCTAATGAATCGTAACGGGACATGGCTGGCAGCGTTTATGGTAGGGTAGCCTATTGAGCTACGCACGTCCAAAAAAACATAAAATAATTTCGCCGACTTACAGACTTTAGGATAGGCTTAACTGCCTACACCTGAACATCTGTAAACGGTCAATGCTAATTTCTACCAATGCTGGGAACCATGTGCCGCTACAGCGACTTTATGTAACTCGTGCTGTTTATTCTTTATTTTAGTCCCTTTTGGTTATTGAACGAAATGTGTAAATTTGATCACACAACACACCTCAGATTCAGCTAAAACTTAAATTTTCTGAATCTTATTCTCTTAATTTGAATTATGTCACAAATTACTTGTTAATCATGTTCTTCGTTATATTTGATACAATAATGGCGTTTTAAAAACGGCAATGTATTCTAAAATGATAATATGATCGTATGTTGACCAGAATTGATTGTATAAAAAAGCAAAGTTTGCAATAACAAAAAATACACATTTAAGGGGTAACACCACTCTAGAGCTCGAAAAAGAGGCCTAACTTTGACAATTTTTTTTGGAAGAACGATAAACGGAAAAGAATTTCTTTTCAGAGGGTTTATTTAACACACATTGAACTGCGACAAAATAATTTTTTATTGTCATTTTCGTACAAAATGGAGGCGACAGAGCCGATCGGCGGAAACAGCTTTTGTAAAAGCACTCACAGAGCCTATCGGCGGAAACAGCTTTTGTAAAAACACTCCTACGGGAGGACGGATTTCTCGTTATGTATGAGTTGTGGGATAAAAAATCAAAAGAATTTATAATCTATATACTATTGGCTTTAGAAGTACGTAGGAGTTTTTTGATTAATCAATTTTTGTGGAAGTTATGCGTTTTCTAAGGAATGAATCGACTTTTTGCATGAAAAATGAGCACTAAATTGTTTATAAAAAAAAAAGTTTACATTCAATCAAAAAACAGCTACGTACTTCCAAAGATAATATTGTTGTGAAGCTACTGTAAAAATTTCAATTCAATCCATGCAAAAAAAAAAAAAAAAAATCGACTTTCTGAAAATCCTAGAGTAGTGTTACCCCTTAATATGAAGTTTAGCGATATCGGTTATTTATGACTTCTTGAAAGCATTTCGGCAAACTTTGTATTAATTTATTAATTGCATTTTAGTCTATTTGAAACCATTATTTTAATAGCATCACTTGAAATCAATTTTTATTGTTTCTACAATGTTCAGGTACATTTCTGTCCCAATGGTCCTACAAATACTCAATGGTTCAAAACGGAGCACTGAGTTGGTTATGATAATAAACGAATGTTATTTTCATTATAATATTTTTGTGCCACTTTGCTAACATGTTTCGAATCATTGTCTATCTGTAAAATAAAAGATTCTCGAATGTTTAATTTCTTTGCGGAATCTGTTAAATTTTTCTGCAAAATGTAACGATTCTGGAACTAGGCTCAGATTTTAACAGCGTTTGTGATTCTTGTGGTGTGCGGTTAAGGAGTGAAATCCACAGGTCAATATCTTTCAACAATTTGGTTTATTCAATAAAACAATAAAAATGATGAATTTAACAGATAACAAATAACAAATAACAACAAAATATGAAAAGTATACTGGCTTAATCAAAAGAAACTAAATAGACTTTGATTGTTTAATAATAATAATATTAGAAACTCGACAAATTAAATAATACGTAATAGATAATTGTGAATCTAATAAAATGAAACTCGCTAGTTAATACTTTATGATAAATCGTACGGCTTTAATTCCGCTGCTTTCTCTAATAATAACGCATCAGATACGAAGTCCCTCATAGCTCTTCTTTCGGCAAACCATGTAATCAGCCGTTGCCCCAATTGCTCACTCACTGGTTTCCTCATTTTCTGACGACTTTTCTTCTGCTTACCTTTTTGTCCAAATTTAAAAATTGCTGTTGCCTTCTCTAGGATGCGTTGGATAGTAGTGTAATGTACCTTATGTCTTTTTGCGATAGTTGAAATTGAAACTGTTTTTAAATCTTCTAAAATTTCTAAACGCTTTTGCATCGTAAAAACAACGCGCTTGCTACTTTATTTGGTCGCAATCACGAGTTTCACTCACAATGTAGAATAGTAACATTTTTTGGAAAAAATACACTTTATCGTACATTCACTACGACACTGGACCATTGCAATCTTTGTGTTAGATTCGGAAAGAGTTCTCTTCCGCTTTTTCAAGCGCTCTCTTTCCTCTATTATGAATGAGGGTTCCCTAACGGGCATACCCCTGTTGTACCGACTATCTATGGACTCCGGTAACATGCATTGCATATAAAATTTAATCTATTTTGGCTACATTTCGTTTTACCAAAATACGTCGTCTCTTTGGACAGCAGTATATTTTATCTCTTTCAGGGTCCAAATACAAAATATATAATACTTTTTACCTGTTATTTGCAGTTGCTTTGCACTTGGTAGAAGTACTGGTAGCTTCTGCTTAGCGCAGTACCTGCAGCATCTTCAAATATTCGTCGGATAGATAGAATCGTTTTAATTGCTTCCTCCGGAAACAAATTTTCGGCAGTTTTGGGACATTTTATTTTCACGATACCGTCTTCATCGATGACATCATCTAGCGATGCTCTTATGAACAGATGGGAACTGTTGATGGAGATTCCGCATTCTTTAATATCTCTCCCTGTATATTTCTTCAATTCTTCACGGGCAACGCACTGTTGCACGTATTTAATTGCAGGAACGTTAATGATTTTTGGATATATTAATCTTTCAACCAAGTTAGCACATAATGTGCCACTTTTTCGACGGCACACACTTCCGAAATTGGATGCCGTCAGAAGTTTCGATTTGTAGTTGTACCACCGTGGATTTTTTATTTGTCCAATTGTTTCTATTTGAATAGCATCTTTTCTTCCTTGTCAAATACGGAGTATTTCCACATGTTTTGCTTGCTTCAACTTATAAATAATTGCAGCATTTGCTCCATAATCAGAATCTTTTTCGGAGTGCAATTTTCTTTGTACTCACGCTGCAATATTTTTTTGACGATTTTCATTCAGTATTTTATTTTCTCGTTTTCTTGTTTTTCTATATTGCATACAACTGCGGGCTACGGAGTTTATAATCCTCTGTAACCATCGGTTCATACTGCTGCAACAGAGTCCCATGGGACTGACTGATTTCAGGGGGTAGATCCTCGACCAGGTTGCACCTCCGACCGGCTCCTTTGCTCCAGCTGACCGTTCCGTCGGATAATGTAGTAACCTCTTCTCCCTGTGGACCTTTTTTATGTAGAGCTTCTCGTGGCCCAATATGTCTTCTCCGATGATGGCGTCGTAAGACATGGCAGAATCAGGCACCACCAAAAAAGTAATTCCAGCTGCGCATCTTCGGTCTGAATCCAGTAGGGGTTTTTGATATAGTCAAAACTGTTAGGGTTTTATTTGATGGAGTGTTATTTGTTATCAAATTTTGATCATATCCTGACCCTGAGTCCACTAATAAAATACTGTTATCTGATGAATTTTGAAAAAATACTGTTTCCAACCATTGTCTCAAAAGATCGTTGTTTAATTTGCCTGATGTTGATACACCGATAATAACATTAGGTACCGTAAATATTCTACTTCTTACCCGTGATCCTAATTGACAACTTACTTCTTTCAAAACGACAAACAGAAGAGACAAAAGTTGACCATCAGCTCATATGGTTGGTTGTATAATGTAAGAATGAGTTAATGCAGATGACTGTATAGCTGTTACTCTATGTCTTTCACCTCTCCATGAAAGCATCCTTCCAGAGTGCATTTCAAGTTGAAATCCACTTTTGTCAGAATTGAAAATATTTATTGCGCCATGACTATGAAAATATTGAGATACGCTTGACACAAATTCATTAGCTTGCCTGTTATTTCAGACAAATTTTCAGAATAATTTCTTGCGATGAATTTTGTAGTCTTTTTTGATACAGTATTATGAGCACGTTTGAATTTCGTCCCAGCGTCGGCTTTTTTTCGGCTACGAGTATGCGGTTCTTGTTCTCTTTTCGGGCATACTCATGGCTGTTTCGGCCAAGTTTAACATCCACGCCGTGCATAAAAAGCAAAAAAGCTGAGATTCCTTCGTTGAAGGTGCCTGCAGCGACAAATTCAGCAATCTCAACTATTTCTGAACCAGCAGGAAGTATTTTTGAAGTAATTTTCCAAATTAACTGGTTCAAACTTTCATTGTTGTTCTGCGTAAAGCCACCAATACAATGCTCCAAAAGCTTTTCTTTGCTGAGCTCTTCATAAATGGGCTTGATAGCTGCAGAAACGTCACTTGGTAATGGATCGTAATCGTGTTTGAATGATGAATGTGTGTTCGTAACTGAGGCACGCTGCCAAGTGCACCATGAATCAGGGCTGTTTGGACATTTATTGTGCTGTAAATTTTTGTCTGTGAAGTTATAGTGAAAATGCGTTGTCCATATAGCGCTTTTCAAATTTTGTATCGAATCACAGTTTCTTCTTATAGCCAGGCCGTAATAAATCGTTAATTGATCAATCAGTTTGCCAGTAAGTTTGCCTTTGCCAGAAAGAGTTTTTTTTCTTATTGTTTTACTGGCCTTGGTTTTTTTTTTTTTCAACAGTTTTGTTGACTAAATCGCGTAGGCGGGTGCCCATCCTCTTTTGTACATGTCCTACGCATTCTTTTTTGTTTATTACAAAATTTTTACCATAAGGTTCCGCATTGATAATTCTGGAATATGTTTTAGAGTCCCCGTCACCAATATAATTTCTGTATCTTAGGCTGTATTTTTCGAAAGAGCGTCGAAATATTGCAACGATTGATGCGACTTTCATACTACCAGCTGATCCTTGATGATTGGCGCTACATTCGTTTTTTTCAAAATGATCTTCTTGCCACTTTTCAAACTCTGCTGTATTCAGTTTGTTTTCCACGCTTCACAAAACTTGCAATACGAGCATTTTACAAAAACATCTAAGACTTTTCCGGAATAATAACCAATTAACGTAGACACACCGTATAAGGACGAATATTCGCAATTTTTCCAAATGCCATCACCTTTCACGACGCACCCCAGTAGCTGGGGGTCGTCGAGGCTCTCCGTAACCGATGCGATGGGGCGTATGGTCGCAGTTTACCCATAACCAATTTGTATGAGCGATCTGTCGGTTGGCGATCCGTCGCTCCCTGGATTTCGTAAATTATCAGTGAAATTTTCGGTACGGGCCTAGGAACTTTGGCATTAATTTCGCGGCGATATTATTTTCTGCCAACAATAACGTTTGATTATAGCGCAACACTAGATCACCTACATGTACACGGTACTGTTCGTCCCTACGTCTCAAGTTGTAGCGAGATGCTTGCTTACCTACCGCTTCGTCGAGGTTTCTCACTACCCAGTCTGAATCAATTTTAACTATTACAAGGTTATCCTCTCGTTAGATGCCTTAAACCCACCAGCAGATCTCTCGTCTTTCGATAAATATGTACGCTTAGGCATTTTCTTCCAATAGAAGCCACTTTCGTCGGCATTATAACCTTGGTCAGCTGTATATCCGCCTTCTTCAATTATCTTCGGAAGTTCTCCTTTAAATTTGCGAGCACTTTCGTAATTAGCTGAAGCGCGCTCTCCTTGAATTTGAATATTATGCAAGGAAAATCTTTTTCGAAACCTTTCAAACCAGCCATTACTATTGATAAATTTTGATTTTGGCTCGTCGGAAGAAACAGTTTCCAATTCCTTTAAATGAGTAAAAACTTGTTGGGCTTCTGCTTTTATTAAGCAACTATTTATAGGAATATTATTTCGATTGCAATCTTCTATCCAAATCATCAAACATTTTTCTGTTTTTGGTATTAATGAATCTTTTACACGTGAAGATTTACTTAAGGTTTGCAACGATCTAGAGATTACAGCACTTCTAATTTTACTTCCATTTTGTTTAAAATGTTGGTTTCTTACTATTATTTAACTGATCCAAAATATCAATTTTTTGTTGTAGAGAAATAAATTTCCTGTTTAATTTAGGTTTTATTTTCTTTGCACTTGTCATGGTCGAGAAATAAATATTTTATTTAAAATAAAAATTATAAAAATGAAATCTCTACACCTTTTAGTAGATATAATCAATATTCTTACAATTCAAAAACTATGTACACAAATTGAATAAAATAATTTAATTTAATTTTATAAGAACACAATTGACACAATGTGCAAACGTACGCGAAATTGATTGTGAACTGTCAAATTATAAATTTCACAGAAATATAACGTGGGGAATCCTCGCGTTACATGGGGAGAAACACGTGTTATATGAGGGACATGAAATCGTGTTGTATGAAAACGCGTTATAAGAGTATCGTGTTATAGAGGGGATTACTGTATATTTTTTAACTACACAGTGCTTATTGCCGCACAGAAGACAGATGACTTTATCATTAATATGCGCGAAGAAGATTTCTTCCCATACCTTATCGAAATATTGTTTAGAGGAGTGTCCCTCTCCGATTTTGATAATATTTTCCGCTATTTGAAATACAAGTTTCTATACGTTTTACAAATTCGTTCTCCACGTTGTCCATAATTTCGCACGGAATATTTACGCATGCATTGTGTATTCTATTTTTTAAGTCGGTTATATTGTTTATCGGCGTTTTATAAATCTCTTGTTTAATGTAACCACACAAGAAGAAATCGCACGAGGTTAAATCAGGCGGTGGCCAAGAAATTGGTCCACCACGGCCTATCTATTTGTCGTTGTGAATACTTTACGCAGCCACTCCCTGATTTCTTTTGCGTAATGTGGAGGAGCTCCGTCCTGCTGGTACCACATGTTCTTCCTATCCTGGAGATTCAATTCCTACAAAATAGGAAATAAAAAATTGTTTAAATTGAATGTGCGGTAATCGAATTTTGAAAGTAATACAGTCCGTAAATTTTTCTATTGAAAATTCCACACCACACCATGACGCTTGCTTTAAATTGGTTATTTACTTGTCTTTTCCAATGTGGATTTTCTGACGACCACATTCGTGCATTTTGATGACATATTTGCCCGTTGGTAGTAAATATACATTCATCTGTGAAAAATACATTTGGAACAAAAGTTCGGTTGTCTGCCAATTTACCCGCAAACCACAATGCAAATTGTGGAGGCTAATTTGAGTTGCACATGATAATTCTTCCACAGTTGCAGATGCACGAATCTCTGCTGTTGTCCTCCGCTTAGGCCTTAAATATAAGTAATAATTAAATTAAATAACCTTAAGTATAAATAAGTAAATAAAGAGATAATCAGGTATTGAAATAATAAAGTGAGAATAATAAATATCTACGCGACCATACGTACCTATCACTGCAAGATGCGAATTCTATATTGGGACGACCATTTTTACTTGTCAGTGTACTTGAGAATCGTGCACATGCATGCATACAGGTCGTTTGGGTCGTCCATTTTCATAGATCGCAGCGTCCTGGCTACGGTTTCGTCCCGCACTCCAAAAATAACCATATCGATGATTTTTTTATCACCCAGTTCCAAATTCAATCGCCACATCGTATTAATCTTTTGGAAACAACAGTCCCCTAGTGAGTGCCCTGGTTTCGCCTCGTACAAATCCGCATCCTGAAGCATCTTTTTTTTTCTCGGGGGTCGAAACCATCGCCAAGTTGGTGTGCCTCAGCCCGAGTGCGGAGCATTCGCCTCTCGGCATCTCTTCCGCACCCGGCGTTGGATGGCCGACTGGGGACTAAAGGTTAAGTTAGGTTAGGCCCCTCTACCTTTCGCAACACGGGCTTGGGACCGGCTATGGCGGTAGCCCCCTGAAAGGGTACGTCTTGCATCTGTGGGAGCGCAGAAGGGGCCGCCCCCCAGGGGGTGTTAGGTTAAGTAAATAAATAATTTAAATTAAATATTTACAAAACTAGCCTATATGGAGCGACAAATAATTAATAAGTAGGTCCAATACGCACACACCATCGTTCCATGCTAATACGCGCACATACAAAAGACAATGTCCCACATATTTGTTACCATGCATCCTTAATTACTAATTACTTCCCTCCCTCTAGTTGTGTTTCCACCACTAGTTGGGATTCGTCTATTTCTTATATCTATTTACAAATATCTAGTCTTGAAATACAGTCGTTATATAATTCAAAGACATCTGGACCACAGGTCTCTAAATTGTTATAATTATATATATAATCAACTTATATCTAGGTCATAACTTCTACTAATATATATTATTAGAAAAGCAAAAAAACATTTACACTATTAGTAAATTTTTTTTTTCTTTTTCCACTAAGACTTTCTATAGTAATAATAATAATAATAATTTGTTGGGGCTTTACAGGTCCCTCTATTCCATTTCCAATTACGTCTCCCTGCTACATTTGTTGTATCGTTAATTAGATCATCCCCATTCTATTTAGTGGGGGTTCGCTACCATCGAAGACCTCTAATTTGTTTAAAA